GGGGGGGGGGGGAGGGACAACCCAATGAGGGCCCACACGTGAAGAGAAATATTAGATAAATACTTATGCTACACTCTTCTCTAACAACTTAAACTTACAGAATATACGGTTATTCAACAGTAATAACAAGCTTTTGTAATCCGAAAGTTTTCTCTTATAAATCAAATAATCAAATTTTCAACAAGATTGAGAATAATCTCATATAAGTTTCACAAGGCTAAATGAAATAAAGCTCGTTGTGAATAAAACATAAATGTTTCAGATATGGATACTCGTTATGTTGCAAGACGAGACGAGGCTGAGCTTGAAACCAACCAGATGAGATTACAATTCAACATCATTATTGAGTTGATATTTTTAATGCAACAATAGATGCTCAGTTGCAAGTAATAAACAACAAATTCAGTGAGCATACAATTTTTTTTTTCTTTAACTAATCAATATTAGCTCAGCATTAGACAATATGATTAATATGTATTAGAAACTATTTCTTTTGTTTATCTTATGTTAGTATGTGTCGGTAGCTTTGTTTATATTAAATGTATTATATTATCAAATTGGAAATTTAAATTTTAGTATGTGTGAATTTTTGTGTTTAAGGTTTGACCCCTTAAAGATAAAATCTTGGCTCTGTCCTAAAAAATACAATATTTGAAATAAGTTATATGACCCTTGTTTTATGACACGAGTTAATACCGACTCGGCTCGCTGTTATACTATCAACTGATATCACATGCGTGTACAAACTAGATCCCTATGGTATAGGCGGTACAACATCAATGCTACTTGGTGTTAGGATTATAAATGACAAAAGNCGTCCTAAAAAATACAATATTTGAAATAAGTTATATGACCCTTGTTTTATGACACGAGTTAATACCGACTCGGCTCGATGTTATACTATCAACTGATATCACATGCGTGTACAAACTAGATCCCTATGGTATAGGCGGTACAACATCAATGCTACTTGGTGTTAGGATTAAAAATGACAAAAGCACCTTTAACTTGTTATTGAATTTGATCAAATGAGGGTGTATATTTTTCTTATTAATATAATACCATACATTAATACCCATTCCCCAACCGAGACCGACATCNGGTGTTAGGATTATAAATGACAAAAGCACCTTTAACTTGTTATTGAATTTGATCAAATGAGGGTGTATATTTTTCTTATTAATATAATACCATACATTAATACCCATTCCCCAACCGAGACCGACATCAAGATAATGAACTAGCACCTTATTCTAAATATGAAGCAAACATGTTACAAATGAGAAAAGATAAAATAATAGAGCAAATAGGAGAGTTATACAACTCAATGAAAATTTCATGTGAAGAAAAAATAATGTTTCACACACAAAAAATTCAATATTGCCAAATAACGACGGGTACATTTTAGATATAATTATGGGTTTCACATTGCCAAATTTGTATGTTAAAAAACGTGTATTTTACTACGCATTTAGGCATTTTTCGTCTAAAGCATATCGTACATTTACTTGCGGATAATGTGAAATAATTCAAATAATCGAGATAGTCCTACGAGAAAATCAATANATTTGCGGATAATGTGAAATAATTCAAATAATCGAGATAGTCCTACGAGAAAATCAATAGTTAAAGAACAAACTACCTGCCCAAAACAAAAAATTGGACAAACTACAATTTCATGAAATTTACGATATTTGCCTGCCTATTTTTTTTTATATAAATTTCTACAATGGCCTTGATTTTTTTTATTTTTAATTAAATAGAGACCCACTGCCCCCTAAATTAAATATTTTATTTTTTGATTGACTAAACTAGAGATAAAATGTCTTGACCTATGTTCATATTGATCAAAGACCCTACTCTTCTATCTAATCCAACACTAATCTACTAACTTTGTATCAATTTTATGTCTAGTTCACAAGTCGTGTCTAGAATTATCAGACTTATTTTGAAGAGTGATACGTGATGATAATAAAATACTAGTGAGCTGCTTTATATATACTATTTATACTAGTGGAGTAGCGTTAACATCTAATATAGAACCTCAATCTTTTTACTCAATACTAGAATACATACCGAATTCATATAGATAATTTACTATAGGAATGTGAGCAGGTAGTACCCACCATGAACACCATATGGCTCTAAAAAAAGTATGATCTTATAATATATTACTCAATCAGAGAGACCAAACTACTTTTTGTGAGGCCTCGTGCTCCGCGAGGGTCTTATGTGGTTTGTGTATACGCATCTAAATTTGTTAANTTCTAATTCAACACTAATCTACTAACTTTGTATCAATTTTATGTCTAGTTCAGAAGTCGTGTCTAGAATTATCAGGCTTATTTTGAAGAGTGATACGTGATGATAATAAAATACTAGTGAGCTGCTTTATATAGACTATTTATACTAGTGGAGTAGCGTTAACATCTACTATAGTACCTCGATCTTTTTACCCAATACTAGAATACATACCGAATTCATATAGATAATATACTATGGGAATGTGAGCCGGTAGTACCCACCATGAACACCATATGGCTCCAAAAGAGACCAAACTACTTTTTGTGAGGCCTCGTGCTCCGCGAGGGTCTTATGTGGTTTGTGTATACGCATCTAAATTTGTTAATTACATTTCAAAGTTTGCTGAAATAATCTTGCTGATTATACATCGAAATTACAATAGAACCACTTGTATTTAATTTGATGATTTAAGACTAGTACGCAATGAACTGTAATCATTGTATTGATAATGAATTATATCCTCTCATTACGTCTCCCAAAAGATAATGCTATTTAAACATAATTTTTTGACCTAATGCATCACAACAATTGAATTTGTAACGGATCCCAACAAATACTAGAATCCACCATCAATCCAACAACTATGAATGATTAATTCAACAAATTATGACAATAATTATGTATAAACTTAATGTCTCCTAAGACCTCAACTGGACATTTCATTGAACACGCACCGCGCTTGACATATATATATATATATATATATATATATTATTCGAAGTTAAGATCACTTTAAATTTTACCTTAAAGTTAATTTAACAGTTAATATTAACACCTCAAATTTAATATGAAAACTAAGGCNACCTTAAAGTTAATTTAACAGTTAATATTAACACCTCAAATTTAATATGAAAACTAAGGCCCTAAAAGTATGTTTGGAGTAACTTTTTAAAAGTATTTTTAAAAATTATTTCTCACAAATATTTAAAAAAAAAATAGTGTTTGAATCCTCCCCACCGCTCCACCCCCACACCTACCACCATCATTATTGCCACCCTACCATACCCACCACCGCCACTACCACCACCTTATCATCACCATCACCACTTCCATTGTCCCACCACCACCATAACCACTACACTACTGCCCACCACTACCACCACCCCACCATCATCACTATCCCTACCACCACCACCATCACTTCCACCGCCCCACCACCAGTCCACCACCATCCCCACCACCACTGCTATTGCACCTATCATCATTACCATCGTTGTCCCTCCTTTCAACCACCGTCGTTGTCGCACCTTAAAACCACCACTATTGTCACATCATCACCCCCCACCACCTCACCACCACCCCAATGTCCATCACAATTACCATTACCATCGCCAACCCACCACCGCCACCCCCACCATCGCCACTGCCCCACCTCCACCCCACCCCCACCCTCACTGTCCCATCGCCACCCACCACCAATTGCTACCATTGACGTCCATAGGCATCACCTACCACCATCGTCATCTATTCTTATTTTTATTATCATTACCACCATCATCTCACTATTATAGTCTCCCACCCTCAACACCCACCACTAGCCATTGTCACCTCCCCCATTACCAACCATCACCACCTAACATCGCCCACCACTATAGCCACCTGCTGTCACCTACGTCCACCACGTACGCTTATCACAATCACCATTCGCCACCACCATCATCGCCCACCACCACCACCATCGTTGCACACCACTGCCAGCGTTGCCACTCACGGCTACCACTACCATGATCATCACTCAAAATCCACCACCACCATCACCATTGCCACCCACAACTGCTACCACCACCACGGTCGTTGCCTTATTCACCACAACCATCACCGTCTCTCATCACTACCACTGTCGCCCACCACTACTACCACCGCTCACCTCCACTATAATCGATGCTTAAATTTATTTATCTCACCTCTATGTTTATAATTTAATTTTGAATGTGAATACAAATATTTTGACCATTTTTTTTATTATTTCGTGTCTTCAGGCACGAGGAATAATTAGTATATATATATATATGATGATGGCACAATTCTACCAATTATTAAGTTGTAATAATTTATAATTCTCCACATTCTATCTATTTATCTAACTTCTCATACTATCTCTAACTTTCCAGTTTCCGCTATCTAACCTATACTATCTGTAATTCTCATTATCTATCTTCTTATTAACTTCCCTCAAATATTAGGATTAGGGAAGCTAAAACGGGGTCGAAGCCAGACCGACCATGATAACAATGTAAAAGGGACCAGCCATGTCAAAACCTACAAAAAAAATCCTCATATCTGAATGCTGAACAACAAACAAGGCAAAAAAGTTTATATTATCTGATGTCTCCTTGCGCCTCGCGAGGAGTTTCTATATTCATCTAATTTGTCCATACCATCAGACAGTTGGCTCAAAGATCTTGATTCTGCTCTGAAATTATTCCATACACCTGGTGCATCCTGTGACCTCATTTGGTCATTTCATCGAACATTCACCGCGCATGGCATATATATATATTATATATATTAAACCATTATCTTCCTCTCTTTCTCACTCTCTCACTCACACACTCACACACATATATATAGAGCAATGCAACCTCACAAAGCCCAAGCCACAATTCCCCACACTCTAAAGAAACAAGTCGCCACATAGCTGAAAATCACTCAAGATTCTTACTGTCTCTTTACTCATGTCAAAATCACAAGAGGTGGAAGCTTTTGGATGGGCTTGTAGAGACCCATCTGGTGTTCTCTCTCCATTCAAGTTTTCAGGAAGGTTGGCTTTGGGTTTCTCCCTTAATGGAAGAAAATATATGGTTCATTATATATTAACGAGACGAAAGTCTTTCATCCTTGTGACATGACATAATTTTTATGAGTTAGTTTAAAATATTTTAGTTATATAACTAGGTTGAGTCAGCATGTTTATTGATACAATGGTGGTGGTAATGTGTGCGGTATGACAATGTAGGGCTACTGGTGATTAAGATGTGAGATTGAAGGTGTTTTATTGTGGGATCTGTCAATCAGACCTTATGATGAATAAGAATTATTGGGGCGTTGCAATGTATCCCATTGTTCCAGGATATGTATAATGTATTGTTTGGTCGGTAACTCATTTAATATGTACATTTACTGATTTTTTTTTCTTCATACTCATAAATTGATTACTATTGGCATCAATTACCACGCAACTATAACAGAGGAGAAAATCCATTGAGGGGGTGAAAGAGAAGCCCCAAGGAGGGGCTCAATTGAACATCGAAGCGGGGGACATTGAGAGAAATCAACCATTGACTTAGATAAAGTTTACTCCTTGACCCTTAGATTTTCTTCTCGAGAGAATCAAGTCATCAACTAGTCTAGACCCAGTTGATTACTTGGTCGAAGTTACAAATAGTTTGGTGACTTAATACGAGTTGGGGACCAATAATTTTGTTTTTGACGTATATCTCATATATCAAAACTGAAATGATCAAATTTTGTTTGTGGGAAGAACGTACAAAAGTTCAAAGTTGGAGACAAAGTGGGTGTGGGATGCTTGGTGGGGTCATGTCGGAAATGTGAGAGTTGTGCTAACAACCTTGAAAATTATTGTCCCGAACAAATGCTCACAGACAGTCCCCCCTACGTTGATGGAATCATAATCCATGGGGGTTTTTCTGATCACATGGTCGCCGACGAGCACTTTGTGCTTCGTTGGCCGGACAACTTGCCTCTAAATTCCGGCAATCCTCTCCTGGGTTCAGGAATCACAATGTACAGTCCATTGAGGTATTTTGGACTCGACAAGCCTGGTATGCNAATCCTCTCCTGGGTTCAGGAATCACAATGTACAGTCCATTGAGGTATTTTGGACTCAACAAGCCTGGTATGCACATTGGGGTGGTGGGTCTCGGAGGACATGACCATTTAGCTGTGAAATTTGTAAAGGCACTTGGTGGTAAAATGATAGTGATTATTACATCTCCTGAAAAGAAAGTGGGAGCTATCAAAAACCTTGGTGTTGACTCATTTTTGGTCAGTAGTGACCCCGATCAAATGCAGGTAATTATTAATTAGTAGTACTCCTTACTTTTTTTACTTTTTTTTTTGGAGGGGGTTGGGGGGGAGGGGAAAAGACGAGAAGCCGCAACCACCTATGGATGTGAGTGAGCCTTTACAACTAGACTACTTCTTCATCTCATATCGAGATGTTTTATGGTATTTAGTCCTCATGTTATTATGTTTGATATGACTAGATTGCAATGGGCACACTAGATGGTATCATTGATACCGTCCCTGCAGTTCATCCTCTTCAACCTTTAATTGATCTATTAAAAACCAATGGAAAGCTTGTGATGAGCGGTGGACCATTAGAGCTGCTAGATCTACCAGTGTCCCTTTTGATTTCTGGTAAGTGCATTTCACTTACTAGCATCTATGGAAAGAGTTGTGATTAAAGGTCTTGCACAACTTTAAGTTATCTAGCATTAGTTTTTGATATAAAAAACTTGGATTTATTAACTAAATTGAACAAGACAGTATAACCTTCTTGGTGTATGGAATGATAGGTCGAAAAAAAGTGGTTGGGACTGACATTGGAGGGTTGAAAGAAATGCAAGAGATGCTTGATTTTGCAGCAAAACACAATATTACAGCAAATGTAGAGGTTATTCCTATAGACTACGTGAACACANTTGGAGGGTTGAAAGAAATGCAAGAGATGCTTGATTTTGCAGCAAAACACAATATTACAGCAAATGTAGAGGTTATTCCTATAGACTACGTGAACACAGCAATGAAACGTCTCGAGAAAAACGATGTTAAATACCGATTTGTTCTGGATATTGCAAGCACATTGAAGGTTGCTTAATGTGAACATTGAAGGCACTCGGGTTTTTCTTCTACGATCATGTTCGAGTTGTTTACTATTGATTTCAATAAGAGGGTGACCTCAAGAAGTTAATTTGATGTGTTGCTTTGAATCTGTGTGATTTTTTTTTTCTTGCCTACAGTGTTGCCTACTTGTCTTCAACTTCAGTTTCGTTTGATATACAGTCTAAATCAATTGGGGGAAGTGAGTAAGTGGAAATTACAATTGCAATTTTACAATAAATTTGGTCAAACCTCTACAGTATTCACCAATTGTCATATAACTGAAATAACTAAATTTATTGATCATCGTCATAAACAAAAGAAAGAATTCAATGACATATCGATTAATGTCACAAGTTTACAATGAATTCTTGCGTAAATCATTATTTTCATAACTCTTTATTTTTAAATCATATTAAAATGAAAATTTTCAAAAATAAATTAAGAAAATGTCATGAATAATAAGCAGATTCCATTAAATCTTCGCTTAGTTATATATCTGACCTATTTTTAAGGTTTTTCTTTCGTCTAAGGAGACACAACGAAAACTACATTTGTATCATCAAATGTTTAAATGAATGTTAACCAACAAAATGATACTTATAATTGTCAACAGAAATACGTGAATCCAGGAAACCTAAATCGGGAACAGATTTTTATTCATAAGGGTTAATTTAGATTCAATAAAGTCAAAATATATTTATATTTAAAATAAATGATGCCCGATTCAATATCTTATAGCTTTCAATCTTAAAAACAGCACCCTCTAATGATTGTGAATCCCATGCAAACTTTTCATTAAGGGCTTGTTTTGTTCAGATTTTAATGGCAGGATTTAAAGAAATTAGTCCAAAGTAAATATCATATTTGAAACAAGTTACATGGCCCTTGTCTTACAGCACGAGTTAATACCAACTTGGCTTGATGTTATACGGTCAACTAATATCACATGCGTGTACAAACTAAATCCCTATGATATATAGGTGGTACAACATCAATGCTACTTAATATTAGGATTAAAAATGACAAAAGCACCTTTGACTTGGCATTGAATTTCATCACATGAAAGTGTACGTTTTTCTTTTTAATTTAATACCACGCATTAATACCTAGTCCCCAACCAAGACCGCATCAAGATAATGAACTTACACCTTATTCTAAATATGAACCAAACAAGTCAAAAATGAGAAAAGATAAAATAATATTATGTAGATTGGTAGGAGGAGAGATATACAACTCAATGAAAATATCATGTGAAGAAAACCTAATGTTTCATACACAAAAAATTCAGTACTAGCAACATTTCTAACTAAATTGTTAAAGGACAGATTCCCAAATTTTCGGTTTTACATTGCCAAATTTTGTCTGTTAGAAATTTTACTACGCATTTAGGCATTTTCCATCGAAAACATATCATACATTTTGTTTACGATAATGTGAAGTAATTCAAATAGTCCAGGAGGTACTTTGAGAAACTCAATAGTTAAAGGACAAACTATTTGCCAAAAAAATTGGACAAACTACAATTTTATGAAATTTATGATATTTGCCTCCCTAATTCTTTTTTCAAATTTCTATCATGGCCCTGATTTTTTTATTTTTGATTAAATAGAAACTCATTGCCCCCCTAAAATAAATATTTTATTTTTCGATTGAATAAACTAAAATTGAAATGTCTTGACCTATTTTCATTTTGACCAAAGACACTACTCTTCTATCTAATCTAACACTTCCTATTTTTTAAAATTATTTTATATATTTGATATTTACTTTTCTTTTAGCATGTTAGTTGCCTATAATCCATAAAGCATGATTAAATGTAATAGTAAACTGTTGTAACCTAAAAGTTTTCTCTTGTATATCAAATAATCAATTTCTCAACAAGATTGAGAAAAAACTCAAATAAGTTTTGCAAATTAAAATGAATGATACGGACTCTGGGATTGTGTGAATTAAAAGAACATTAGTAAAAAATTTGGCTTGCAATTAATTTTTTTTTGGAGATAAGCTTACAATTAATTAAATATAAAAAAATGAGAGATTTCAAAGAATATTTTTGTTAACTTTAATATATGATTCAACTAAAATATACCAACTACAAGTTATTGTTTTGTAGTTTTTGTTCAAATCTCATGTTGTTTGAATAAAAACTGATTTTACTACACGTATAATAATTTAGAGTGTGTTTGACACGACTTAAAAAAAAAGTGTTTTTTGGAACTTTTAACTTATGAAAAATACTTTTTTAAAAATAATAGTGTTTGGCTTAACTTGTTAAAAACACTTTTTGATAAATAAAAGTAATTGAGCACTTAAATAAGTTAATAAAAAAAAGTAAATATAATTAACTTTTACTTTTAAAAATTACTTCTCATTTTCTCCTCACTCCCTCCGATAGCTCTCTGTAAGTCCCCGTAGCCCTATTCTTCGATAGCTTAGACAATGAGAAACTCACCAATGGATGAAGGAGCAAAAATTGAACTCTCCCAAAGGTTTTCCACCGCCTCTTCCAATACACATTTCACTTTAGCTTCATTGTCTGCCGGAGATTTCTTTTTCCTTGATTTCTCAGCCTGAGTCAAAGCTTGAGATTCCTCCACTAGGTCTTCTAACAAACCACTATTTCCTAGTGGAAATTCTGGTGTAATTTCATACTCATCAGCATCACTTGATGTTGCATCTATTATATAGCCACTCCCAGTGTTTGCAGACGAAGTTGGTGATGGTTTTGGCATTGGTGATGGTTTCGGCATTGGTGATTGGATTGCAGGCAGCTCAATACCCATGTCCAATGAACTAATTGGATAAAAAGAAACTTCCTTATGAGGTCTTGGATTGTTGTTGTAACAGAAAGAATTGAAGTGAAGTGAAGTGAAGGTGTTTGTTGAAATAGCTCACTGGAAAAGTCAAGATTAAACCAAGGCTCTGTGGCTGTAGGAAATGGCAAACTAGGGGATGTAAATGACAAAGCGAGAGATTGAACTGCGGGTTGAAATTGGGGAGAAATGAAGAGTTTGGGTGATGCTATGGAGGATTGGCAGTGGGTGGAAACAATACATTAATACATTAATTTAAGTTTTCACATCCAAACGTACTTTTTCTAATATACATTTATTAATTTAATTATTTTTTCTTCAATCTGTTTCCAGTCCCCACTCCCAATTAACCTAGTATGAAATCCTTGCTGCACCCTTGTGTATATTTATATATTTGATAGATTAGACAAGTTCACGTATTTACGCCTTGAACCCATTAATGCTAGACCCTAATTCACAAACTTTGTATGAATTTCATGTCTAGTTTATAAGTCATGTCTAGAATATTCAAGCCTACTCTGAATAGTGATATGGGATAGTAATAAAATACTAATGAGCTACTTTATATAGCCTATTTGTACTAGTGGAGTAGTGTTGGCATGTAATATAGAACCTCAATCCTTTTGCCCTATACTAGAATACTGTCATATGGTAACTTTTATTTTTCTTTCGAGGCTACCTGTGAAGGCGTTGCTATTACAACTAGCCACACTCAAACTCAAGAATAAGGGACAGAAACTCACATAGAAGGCACACACGAATTTACTGAGACAAAACTCTCAAATCTTATATATTGAACTCAACAATTTACAAGGACTCTCAAAGCCAGAACACTCTGCCCCATCAGAATGCTCAAGCACCCCTATTTATACAGGAGTAAGGCAGATGACACCCCCATCTGCCAAGGGATAATTAAACACGTTTTTGCTATTCCATTTCATACTGGCTAGTAGGCTTGGTCAATGTGCGACACTTGGCAAACAGTTCCACCACTTCCAGTAACTGCTGTGGAACTGCCCTTCATCAGCATGCATCTAGACTGAATCCAGACTAGGGACGCCCAGAACTGCCTCAGTAACTACCTTGACTGTGTCTCAGCATCATAACCGTCCACATCCTCCTGTTCACATGTATTGAACAGTCATGTGCCAGTCAAGTGCCCACATTCAGCAGTCAGCCTGGCTACACGAACCAATGTGCATGCTGGGTTCAACTCATGCCATGCAATTCGAAGCTATGCACCCGCATTGCTTCAATTGAGTCCACCACGTGTTGTCATACTCAACCAAGTGTTCTCATACTGCCTTGGTTCACCCCAATCTATCGAACCATTTAGTCGCATCACCTTGATTCCAACTTATGGCATGCTTTGGTGCAAGGTGCCATCAAGACCGGTCATTTACACCCAAGTCAGTTAGGGTGTGACAAATACATACCGAATTCAGCTAGATTCTATTGATGATGTTCGCAGAACTAATTGGTTCTTCCCAAAATGCTTTGAGGCATAGCAATTGATTGAATATCTCGTATGCTTTTCTTATTTTAGATACTATTTTAAAAAAAATAAAAATTAAGAATTCATGAAGGCTCAAATTAAGATTAGTGAGAGCTGGAATGGGATAATTATATCATTAGAAATCTTTGGTTATAAAATTTATATTCTATTATGAATGTCTTAGACTCCTTGTTTTATTTTTTAGTTTCATTTCAAAAGATAATATAATTGTATACTAATTATGAATTTTTAACAAAAAAATAGAATTTTATTTTTGATTTTTTTAAAATAAATGATACAATATAACGTGAATTTTGATTGTAAAATTTAAAATATTTGATATTCTATCTTTGATTAGAGTATTTTTTTTGTCTAATTATAACATTTTAAACTTGAAGGGTCTAAGTATTATAAGTCTACAAACTTCAAAGAGTCTAGATATAATGTACTAACGGAGATATTAACTGACATTAGCAGCAGAGGTCTAAATGTTACACGCATGGGGTCTGTGTATAATATTTTAATTGCCAGAGAGTCTGAGTGATTAAATGACAAATTTTGGATGTTTGAATGTAATTCTTCCTTATTTATATCGTTAGAAATTTTTTGTCTTCTTTGTGACCCAGCCATGGCTATCCCTTATTTTGTTGGCATAATAAACTATACTATATATGGCACTGTGAGTAG